GCAGTTATTTTGGGTTTTAGATAGAAGGTTCTATGAGCTCTCAGCTTGGGTTTGATTTGCGAATTGGTTATTTTTTCATTTTTTTCGGTTATCTCAGTTGGTGGCATTGGACATTTCGTTTAAGCGGGTTTCATCGCGGGGTTATATAAAGGAAGCGAGCAGGTTACTTGTACTTCCTGGTTCCGGTTTATGATGTTACGATGTCATGTTCATGTTATGACCTAGATGATTTGTATGAAACGGAGTAAATGGGTTTGATTTCTCTTCTCTCAAGCATAGAACATGGCGGCGGCTGAGTACATATCGTCGGTTCAAATATGAAACTGCATGTCCAACACCATCTCTCACTTCGCTTCCTCCAGATTCCCAAATCCTGAGTTGCTTTCTCATCGTACCTTCCTCGCTGTGTTTTTCTTGCCTCATCCCACAACTCACAACGAGGAACTCTATCTTGAAATGGGGGAACTGATGACCGAGGAGCGCTAAGATGAGGATGTCGGTAGTTTTGTTGATCGAGGATGTACAGTCACTCACCTTGTCACCATAGATATCGTGCCAGGCATCGGCGCCGCAGAAAGATGAGTTCGTTGGGAGAGACGCAATGACGGGACCTATTATGGTGTGTATTCATGGTCCATTACGGTGTATCTTGGTAGTGATCGTCATCTTTGGATTGAAGGAGCATTAAGTGGTGCGATCATCACGGGGCAGGAAGAATTTCAGCATTCCTCGCATTTGCAATGTCAAATTTCCACTTAAGAAAAGACCCGCTTACCCACATACGGGACTGTTTTCCTTTCTTTTCACGTTTCCAGGTCTACTTTTTGCGGATTCTATAATGTGTGGTTTGTGGAGTGCGCTTGGGAACATCATCAGCTTCTTGAAGTTCTCCAAGTGCTCTACGCCATCAACATACTACTTCTTGGGACGCTACTAGGAAACCAAATGCCGAGATATTTTCAGGTCGTCGATTGGACAATCGGCATTCGTGGCTTGGTTTCGGAGATCTCCCTCTGCGAGTATAGAAGTGCTGATGCCCACCAGGCAAGTTGTCGCGCATTTGTCTTGGAATTTTTTTGATTCGGTGTTTTGCTCAAAAGGTCGGTGCATCAAGAACTTGTGGCTTTTATTGGCGTCGCCCAACGCCTTTGAGAACTCTTTTTACACGTGGATATCGCCTAGTCGCTTGACGACATCTTCGTGGAGCACCATCGAGAGTCGGGCAGCGACTACGTCGTTGGTTTCCTCATCGCCTTCTGATAGACCCAGCTCCTGACCACCAGCAATGCACTTACGAGCAGCATGCTCATATATTTCTCCCATGGTAGCCCCAAGCTCGGCAATGCTATCCTCCGCAAGCAGATTATCACGCACCTTTAGTGCGATCGAGGGCCTTACCCTGGCCTCGTTGATATTGATGTCGAGGACCGTGTCGATGGTTGCCCAGTGAGCTATTTCGACAAGAACAACCCCCAAGCTGTAGATGTCAAAGCTTCTTTTGAACCGTTCGCGGTCTTCTGGATCTGTCGACTGGGCAAGAGGGTGGCGATATAGGTTGTGCTCGGCATCATCGGGGATATCCGTCTCCTCGTCAGCACGAGCGGGCCTCGAAAAGTCAAAACCAGAGAGAAATGGTTTGGAATAGTCGACATGACCGCTGCTGGTTCGAAAGAAGATGATATTTTGGCTGCGAAGCCCTTTGTGCAGCCAGTTCACCGCATGAAGGTAGAAAAGACAGTTGCTGATGGCATGGGCAAGCCTGATCCGATCCGTAACGCGAGGCTTGCGGCTTGTCTCGAGCAGATCATGAAGCGATACTGGTGGCAGAGACGTATGTAGGTCGTCTTCTTGTGGCCTCTCAAACACCAGACCCAATCGCATGTTGCGGATATCATCGTCATCTTCCGCGCCGTTGATGCCAGCCGCTTTGTCAAAGAAGCCGAGACAGTGGGGGGTTCGGAACTCTTCTGGCTTGGGTGTGTGGTTCAGAAGCGCCGCCAGCTTCCTGACTCTTTCGAAAATGACTTCCTTGGGCGGCGAGAGATCGTCTGGTCGTTGACGATCATAATCCTTCCACTCTATCCAGACCTTCTTCTGAGCACCGCCTGGCAGTTGGAGAGTCGCCTCACATCTTGGCAAGTCCGAGTCTTCGTTATCGGAATCGAGCCGTATCATGGAGCGGTCGAGGAAGAGGTCTTTTGGTGTGTTTGGCTTGCCTAATTCAAGGAACATAGCCGTCGCTTCATCCCAGGGAGTGGGGGTGGACTTCTTTTCAGGTTCGATAGACTCGTTGAAGGCCTTGAACTTGGCTAGCTGGGAAAGCAGCTGCAGCCCCTGAGCATTGGCTCGCCTTTGCTCTGCCGACATTTGCGAGATGGGGGTCGTAGGAGAGTTGGCTTCGAGTTTGACATTTAGTGCCATGACGAGCCTTGAGAGATCTGCGATCTTATGATGCAGCTGAAGGACCCCTCTGTTGGTGTCCTGGACGGTATGATGGATCTCGACTTGCATGCGAGCGTCGAGAATGTTGGTCATGTTGTCGTTCAAGACGGAAAAGCGCGAGAGTAATAGCTCAAAAGCTACTTTGTCGAAAGATACCCACTTAAGCCTCGTTGTCACCTCTTTGGAAGTGTCACGGAGACTTGCCATGGCTTTTTTGATGAAGTTTCTCCTTCGTTCAGGCAAGGGAAAGTTTGCCTCGGCGGCATCGCGTTCAGGGTTCAACAGAACATTGTCGGGATCAGAAGCAACCTGGAGACACTTGTTCTTCTTTTGGTGTTCTTTGAACTCCTTGAACAGGCACTCGACCTGGACCAGCAGGTCAAGGACAGTTTGCCGGTGGAGGATGAAGGTGTTGGACTCGAGGATCCTTTTCTGGTTGTTGCCGTCAAGGTCAACCAAGCCCGATGTTTCACTCCATGCAAAGAGTCTCTGCTGCTCCATCCGTAGCCGCAGGTTGAGGTACTTGCAGTCCTCTGGCATGTTCAAGGCCGTGATGAGCAGCTGGATGCCTTGAACACATCCGGTATACACCTGCAATCCTATTGAGGCGACGCTGATGGCCAGCCCTGCGGCTGTGACTGGATCCATCTTGCCAGAGTGAGGACTTGGCTATTCTTGTTCTCTCTTGGTTGGACGGGCTGAAGTATTGTCGGAGCCCAGGAGAGGATAATCTCAATGGGCGGGATGTTGCGAGTATTGATAAAAATGCACCCTGAGATATGTGTTAATGGCCGCTTTTCCACACCTTTACCCCGGTAAATGGCCAAATTCGAGGGCAGTTGAATGAACACCGAGATGACCACGAATCGAAAACCATCAAGATGCTAGATCTGAAAAGAAGCGGTTCGGGATTCACCAACCCCTCAGCCCCTAGGTAAGCCGCAGCACCACCAAGACATGATGTGATGTTACATTAGCGAATGACACCCCCCACTATAGTCAAGCCATCGCCAACTGTTTCCAATCACAAGCATCCATGGGCTTCAACCCACTGTTTCAAGATGCGCGATGGCGAAGCATTACGCTAGGGATATGCCGTATGGCGAAGCACGAAGACAGAGGTTGCAACGACGTGCTAGGTAGGACCGTAAAGAATGATGGAAATCGTTTGGCTCGGGCAGCCTGGCTAAGCCGCATTTCAGTCATCGAGATGGCGATGATGATGAAGATGGAGGCGCCGAGTCTTGAGTTACCATAGCTAAAGTGTCAGAACTTAGCACAATTTCCTTGTTGATACCCGTCAAAAGCGAATAAACAGTATCCATGATGCTGTGTGCTTGTCGCCTCCGAGATTGTGACTCGATGGTTAAAAACTATGAGTACACACATCTCCTGCAAGAAGTTGAAGAGCGAACTTCCATCATGTTCAGTTTGGGAAATCCAACTCTATTGCCCGAGCCCTAAAAAGGGAAGCTACCTAAGCTAAGGCTTAAAGAGGCCCGTGCACAGCTGTTCTTCTGACCATCGATTTTGTGAAGAGAATGGAAGTCAAAAGCAGGAAGGCAGGGAAAGAACATCCATCTATCAATCCGCAGCGGACATGAAAGCCTCCCCGTACCTTCCGCGAACATGCCCTAACATGGAATTAGGTGTGCCGTGCATGTCAGCGATGCGAGATGGTGTACTGCTTGGGTGCCTTCAGTTCACACCCCCATTCTTGTGGAAGTAGTTTTTTTTGGAATTCTTCTTCTCTCCATCCATCGCTTAAACAACTCCACATACCCTACAACATCGTCAACTCATTACAGCATCATCGCCACAAAGCTTGTCCCACACCGTCGGGACCAGATGGCAGATTACCGAAATGACAAACAGGGACCGTTCAATGGGTAGAGTACCCCACCGCCTCTTTGTTTCGAGGTATTTCCGCTACAGTTCGACAAACTGCATTTCCCTTTTCGTGTCGATCTGGGACCATCTTACGGTAGCTTGTTTCATCCATCACATATCCTACCCTTTTCCAGGAATGTATGTATCTCGGTCAAAGTTGCGATGATGAAGGCACAGCCACGGCGAGGTCTTCAGCTGGGGTGTCATTGTCCCAGCGTCCCTTGAACCCGACCCCACCAAAGGTACTGCCCAGGGGCATCCCGCTTAAACTAGAGGTCTTGAGAATAGAGGTATGAGGATGGCTTTTGCATTTTCCATCCTTCCAAGACATTCACAAAAAGTCTTTCCAAGAGCGCCAGTCAAGGTATGTATACCTAAAAGTACTTTGCGCCGTCCACTTCCCTTTTTTCCGAGCTTGAGAGAGTCGGGTACCGGAATAGTTACACTAACAGCTGGATTCAAGAAGTAGTGACTCGCTGGCATCTCAGGGCTCCCCGCCACCACTTCAGGCCGCTGAGCTGTCATAAAAACAACCTCATACAGGGCCTTTTTCAGGCGCGTTACCCGACGTTTATAATCCAGCTTTTCATGGAGGAACATACGCACAATCATTCCGAGTTATACGACATCGTACCTTTACGCTGCTACGGCGTCTCGATGACATCGCCATGCCCCCGCATGAGAATTTCAACCATATGATTGTTCGTGAATCGCAGAAGGTGGTGGCAGTTGGGATATTCCCTCCTCAACCACCCAAGACCTCGGAACCAACCACACGTAGGTTCGGCCCTTCCCGCCACCGTTTGGTCAGAGTCCGGTCACGGTCCGACGGCCGGGTCCGTGGGTCCACAAGTCTATTACGCCTTTTTCTGTACCACGGAGTGTGGGAGCACGGAAGCACCGGCGCAGCAGGCGGGTCATCGTCCGACTCCCCTATGTAGTGTACTGTACACGTGTAGCCCACTGCGGCGCCGCACACCGGTACCCAAAGGCATGGCGGTCCAAAGGCTGGCAGACGCATCCCTCGGCCATTTTGCAACGTGGGCAGTCCCATGGGACCCCTTGAACTGCAACCTCATGCAACGATGCAGGTCATGGCCACCACGAGGCGCCTGGTCCTGGAATTGGTGAATACTTTCCAAATCCTTGTCGCTTAGCCTTCTTCTCTCGCTCATCTTTGCAAAACACTAGACATCGCCGACGATGAACCGCTAAAAGTGCTTGTCCGGCATGTCAGGCGTCCCAGTTGCCGGACTGTCCATCCTATCCGTAACACCTTTTCGAGGACCCCCAGATCATCAGCGGCCAAGACTGAGCCCCCCTGAGAGTCTGGCTTTTGTTCATCTGCCAGTGTTGTAGCAGCCATTGTTTGACCTGCAAGGGCGGGTCTGCTCCGCCAATTGCGTGTGCCCAGTTGTTGTTGTTTCGGTTGGTAGGCTTGAACCCCCATCTTCGTCAACCCTCTCAGCCTACTTTTGGCCTTTTGTCTTCGGCGCGGGGATACCGTTGTCCGAAAAAAGAAAGAAAATAACAAGAAAATAGTCAACGAGGCGTATGCACCGTTGACTGTTCCGTTTTACACATTGGTGCCCAGGACCCGATGCACGCCTCTTTCTCAACGTTGCGAGCCGTTATCAGGCGCCATAGGGAAACTCGCTCAGTCAAACTCCGGACTAGTTCCCACTAGTTGTCGTTGGCCAACAAGCCGTCGAATTCACCGGCCACGGTCTGGCTCCTGGCGAGGCCGTGATTCGAAGGTTGAAGAATATCGGACTTGGCATTTGACGGTATTGACTCGGCGATGGGTTGAAAGGGGGTTGACGCATGCATGCACATGCCGATTGCTTTCTTTTTCCTCTCTGAACGTATCTGAACTGGCTTCAACGGTCAATTGTCCAAAGAAACATAAACAGGGCATGAGGCCAGGCCTGTCCGGGTTCTTTGTCTCATTTCTATCTTCAAGCCCCCTGCCCGCAAATCCCAGGGTCCTCCCAGAAAAACAACGCAACCCCTCAGTCTCAACTCCGAGCTGGTACCACAATCCACGGACCGTATTATCTCGCCGAAAATACGATATCCGTCCTCCGAGACAATTCTCCAAGCAGCGAACAAGGTAAGAACCAACTGGAATTCCTAGCAAAAGAACCCTATGTCTGTGTATTCGAATAGATAGTTCCATGGTAGGTCGTGGCCGGCGGACGAAGTCTGTGGCGGGATTTTCCTAGGGGCGATGAAGCAGTTACCCCACAAGATGGAGCTACCCGAACAGACAGAGTTTAGGGTTCCGCCGCGCAGGGACAGGCTGAGACAGGGCAGAGCACGCCAACCAAGGTCAAGACGCGAATACAAGCCTCTCGGGAGATACCCATAGTCCCATAGGCACCCACGTTGTCGGAACCGCCGAGGAATCCTCGTAGGCCTAGCTAAATGCTAACAAGCCGACTTCATCCAGGCGCGACCACTCGAGAAGACATTCTTCAGATCCAGCACATCTTCGCTAAGTTTCTGTGCTCGGGACGTGCTCGAGGAGACCACGCTACGCCATATCAATTATCCAATTTCCCGGGCCAGGTTATATTGCAGCTTTAGTGGGCGCCGGATGGTCCTATCAGGCCAAGACAAGCCGAACCAGCGTCTATAGCCAAGCTAGCAGCCGGTACATCGTACTCGGTTTCGATCCAAATATCACCACCCGACCCGAGCTAAAACACGTCCATCGTTCGATTTCTCCGCTCGTCACATCGGCTTCCATCCCATCGCATCGACTCGTCCTTTGACTAGCACGAGACACACCAGCAAGCACAAGCCCCCAACGTCGCCGATTTCACTCTGAAATTTAGCCAGACGGATTGCCGACAATGGAGCCCTTCTCGCCCGAAGCCCCACACTGCAACGGCACCTCCAGTAGCAGCTCGCCCGCAGTGTCCAGCAACAGCCCGGGGACGGCGACCTCGGGCACCGTCCGGAACGGGTCGGTGGCTACGACGACATCACAGCCATCAGTACCTCCCCCTTCCGTTCCAGCGGCGTGTCTCCCTTGTGTGAGTTTGTTATTCCAGATCACAACACTGTTTCCTTTAAAAAATAAAAAAATAAAAAAAAATGTTCGCCCGTGTGCTAACAAAACCTCGGCCAAATAAAGCGAACCAAACATCTCAGATGCGATGGAAATCACCCGTGTGGCCGTTGCACCACGACCGGCATCGTCGCCGACTGTGCCTATATTGCTTCGCGCCGTGGGTACAAAGGCCCTCGTAGAAACCCCAATAACCCTACTCCCGGTGCCAATCCCAATAAGCGACATGCGTCCTCATCGCCCCCTTACGCGGGAACTACTCCTGACAGCTGCCCCATGATGTTGGGGCATGCGCCTGTTACCATGGCCACACCCTCCGTTCATGCCTTCAACCCTTCCGTCGTTTTGCCGGACCAGTCGCAGCTCTCCTTCCCGTCAACCCCCTCCGTTGCGAGCATCCCCGTCTACAGGAATAACTATATGATGGACGGCACCGCTATGACATTGGCGACACAGGCCGCTCCGCCCATCCAGCCTCCCGCAGCAAGTTTGCCAGAGCGTTGTTTCGAGGCTTTCTACCACTATTTCCACGCCGGTCATCCGTTCGTCTTGCCCAAGAGGAACTTGGTTGAATTGCTCAAGAGCAACTCAGAGCCAAACCTTCCAGTATTGATGGCCGCCATGAGATATATTGGTTCACTTTACGTTGATGCAGGCCCTGCCAAGGCCAGATTTCTGGATGAAGCCATTCAGCTGTGCTACGCCCCGGGTGTGCGCAAGGACGGATTCTTGATCCAGGCGCTCCTGCTTATCATCATTGGGTTGGACGGCAGTTGCGAGCAAGAAAGAGCTCGGGAACTCCTTGCTATTTGTGAAAGATATGCCATCGAAATTGACCTTAACAAGCGGCAATTTGCTGTCATGCATGGCCGAGGCGATCCGATCATGGAGGAAAGTTGGCGGCGAACCTGGTGGGATCTCTATGTCTGCGATGGCATGATTGCTGGTGTTCACCGGGTGACCAACTTTCTGTTGTTTGATATCATGACCGATGTTGGCCTTCCCTGCGAGGAGGAGGAGTACCACAAAGGGGTATGTGTTTTCCCAACAGCAATGAGATACCGATGTTTGAATGTTGACTAACCTGGGATTGTTTTCAGTGCATCCCTTCACCGATGAGTCTTGAGGACTTTGACGATAAGGAGTTCCAGGACGAAGACCGAGAGTTCTCATCATTTGCATATCGTGTTGCCGCAGCCAGAAATCTGGGCAGGATGATGCGGATGCCGAACGTCATGTTCCCGGATGCGGCAGAGGTGGACAAGATGGAGGCACATCTGTCCAATTGGAGAATGCATCTTCCGGATAACAAAAGGGATGATCTCGATAAGAATTGCCAGCTTGATGAGATGATGTTCCAAGCGCACTTTATCACCCATGCGTAAGTCATCACTGCACCAATCCCGACAAAGCCATGTTCAGGAAAATGTGTACTGATGCCCTTCACAACCCATAGGTGCACCATTATGCTCCACCAGCCTCTTTCCCAGCTTGACTCTTCGCCAGTCCAAGCCGTCAACTCTTGCGCGCCTCACAGGCCCGTCCACTCAGGCGATCAATACAACGCCCATACTAAGCACACTGTCACGGCGGCCTGCGAGATCAGCAAGATGATCACGCAAGCTGTTCCCGTGACCAGCCATACGCACTTCTTCACGTGCGTCGTAACCCTCTCTTCCATCGTCCACCTGTCCAAGTGGGCCCTCTACATGATTGAAGATGAGGCCGACCTCCGCCAGCAAATCCGGCTGAACATTGGCGCCCTCAACAAGCTCAGCAAGGTCTGGAAGGCGGCCAATACGGCTTGGGGCCAGGTCAAGGGCGTGGCGCAGGAGATCTACCGCCAAAAGAAGGTGCAGCAAATCACCCCGGCTTTCTGGGTCGGCTATACCCAGGAACAGATGATGACATCCATTCAGGCGGACGAGAGCATCATAAGCGAGTTCGACCAGGGGCTGATTGCTCAAGTTGGCATTGCTCAAGTTGGCGTCACTCAAGCTCAGTGAGCTGATGGCGTCGATAAGGTGATGCGTCTTGTCTTGGTTTGGGATGAGGGACTCAAAGAGAAATCGCAAGTGGATGGTATAAGATAATCTTGGTAGTTGCAAAGCGGGTAGAAAGGCAGGAGGAGGGTCTTGTACTTAAATAGTCGGCTCTGGGTTGTGGATTTTCAAAACAACGACAAGGCCAACAGGGGCGTGTCTGGGCGCGCGCCTTCAAGAGTGCAGTACCTCGCGAGCAAGTAAGGTAGTTACAGTACGCTTGGGCTCGCTTGGCTGCTTGGACATAGTTTTGGGTTACATAAAATATCCTAGTAAATATCATGATTGGTTATCGGTCTCTCGAACGGGGGTGGTTCGGCGTTCGCTTTTCAGTGAGGATACTACCAAGTCCCCGGATAACTAACCGCCGATAGTTCGCCGATAGTTTTGCCACATGGGCTCCTCGTCGAACTGAGAGGGTCAGAGTCCGGACTCTACCATTGGATATCGGCTTATTATTGCGGGCATGTGTATCCCCGCGTGCTCCGATGTCAGGGGATGCTACGGGGTCAATCCCAAGGTGCTGGACCGATCATAAGGCTGGAACCTGGGAAGTCGGCGACAACGCGGAAGACTTCTCCGGGTTGCATTACATTGTGTTGTTGAAGATCAGAGTGTCGTTGGGTAACATCGCGAATCATTTCGCCGAAGACAAATCAAGATCGCGACGCACTTGGCTCCCTCAAGTCTGTCTTGGGCTTCCATATCTCTCAGGATGGAGAATATATACGTTGCACGGTCTCTTCGCCGAGAGCTATACGGCGACCGAGTCAGGATGGTTACGGCGACAACGGGCATCTTGTGCGTTGGTGAAGACGAAGTCACGTCGGGGATTTACCGTCAGTATCGCCACCTGCCAGTCGCTAAAGCCTCGCGATCCTTCGTTCGTTCGGTTACTAGTGTAGCGTGAACTCGCAAGACATAGCCGTCTTCCGGCTGTGTACCGAGCATCTACACTAGAGGGCCGAAGCCCTAGCGAGTCCAACCTCCGAGTCTAAAACTACCTTGATACCTGAAAAGCCGGCATCTCTTCGCCGAATCTCAAGTCCGCCCGGGGATAATACTCGGCGACGTCAACATAACTGAGTTACATTTGATTTCAAGGCGACCGATGACAGGCAACGGAATGATGACCGCCTCCAAGCGACCATGCTAATGAGTGGCATTTTCACTTCACTTCACCATACCCTTCCGTCTGTGTTTTCGT